ATTGGTAATTACTGAGGCTTCTATATGATCGTAATCACGACAATTTGGGACCTATGACTGCGATAGGTCAGGTGACGCACGTGCTTGGGCTTTTCTTTGCGGCCTTGAAAGCCAACCAGGGTTTACGGCGTAGGCTTTTGGGGCGGACGGCAACCCCAAGCACAAACTTGTAAAACCCTATCAAACCCTGTGGATACGTATGAAATAGTATGAAATCGTATGGACAACCCCCCCAAGAGCCCAATTGAAACCCGCTAACCCCTTAAGCTTTAAAACCCCGAAGCGCTCTGGGGGGGGGGGGGGGGGGGNNCCCCGAACCCTACACCCTAAACCCCTGAACCCCTAAACCCTGAACCCCTAATCCCCAAACCCCTAAACCCCCACTATAAACCATGTGTGGCTAGGAGAAGCTGCTGTCCGTTATGGACGACAAGTTCCCCGACCAGATTGGACGGATACAGTGTGGAAACAAGAATGATGATGGCAGTTTCGCTGCAAGGAGCCCGAAAGCTGAACCCTCTAAAGATAATTCTTAAGCCTCAGCAACCCTAAACTCTGAACCCTGTAAGAACCCAGGATACGTAAATAGATAAATAAACAAATAAATAAATAATACATGCATGCATACACACACACAAATATATATATATACACATATACATATATATATATAACTTAGATATACGGAAAGATTCGGGTTCAGGTTTTAGGGTTCACAGTTGAGGGTTTGGGGTGTAGGGTTTAGGGTTTACGGTTTATGGTTTAGAGTTAAGGGTTTAGAAGTCTAGGGTTTAGGGTTTAGAAACTTTGAAGTTTAGGGTTTCCGGCACAAGAGGTTTTCCCAGATCGTCATGATCTCAACCCTCTAGCCGGCCGGTGGGCATGAACTCTGGGCACTTCCCTAAGACTCCAAATAGCCCAAAGTAGGTACTATTTGTAGACTTTAGACCCCAAAGTCGGTACTACTTGTATACTTGAACTCTGGGGACTTGCTAACAAGGACATTTCGTAACTCTGCATGGGTAGTTCTCTACAGTAGGGTCCCTTTCAGGGTCCTTGCTATAAGGGTGCAGTACTATATTGGGGATGTAAAAAGGGACCCTAATTTAGAGAACTATCCACATACTTTGAGGTAGGCAGCTCAGACTGAAGAAATATAAATATTCCCTCAAACTTTCGATTTGCAGCGGCCTAGCCCCCAAAATTCCACAACGCCGAAGCAATGTTCCGCGGACGCCAAACTCCTGGAGAGTAAGACCCTACACTTCTACAGCTTAGACCGTTAGACTCCAAGAGCGCGACTCTCAATTTCCTGCAGACCTTCGATACAGAGCTGTACATGAAACCAATTGAAACAGCGAACCCGGATCACTGCAAAAAGCCTTAAATCCCCACAAAACGATTATCCACCAAAAGCCTGCAAAACCCTTAGCCTTAAACCCTCAACCTTAACCCTAAGTCCGAAATACGCTAGGCAGCACACCGCTTCTGGTGGCTGTGGAGCACGTTGGGGGCAAGAGCTCCGATAGGGCAGCTCAACTGCGGTTCAACGGCCTGTCGTTTGGCGTTTGGGGGTACTTTATATGCATGGGTTTCATAGGTTGTTTGGTTTTTGCATGGGTATTTGGATTGTTTCAAGAGGGCTTTACACGTTTTTGGTGTTGTCTTTGTGCAGGTTTTTAATGGTTTCTGCGGATTCTGAAGATCAGGGGCACCTTATTTTAAGGAGCACATCTCATACGGATTTCATTTTCGGGTTCTATAAAAGGGCCCATTACTTTCAGAAACTTCCCAGCTTGACACGTCCCTGGTAATGTAGGAAACTGTTTCAGTTTAGGATTTAGGGTTCGGGTTTGGGCTGTGGGAAACCCTATAAACCCTAAACCTTAGGGCCCTAAACCCTAAACCCTAAACCCCCACACACAAAAACCCCTAAACCCCTAACCCCTTAAACTCCTAAACCCCTAAACCAAAAGCACTAAACCCTAAAACCAAAAACCCTAAGCAAGTAAGTACCGGGTACCGTTCCCAGGTGGAGAAGGTCCTCGACCTGCTCATCGTCAAGGGCGGCAGCAATGTCGCTCAGAAGGATTCGTCAGGACCCGGGCTTTGGGGGTTTTGGGGTTTTGGGGTTTTGTGGTTGTGGGGTTTTGGGGTTTAGGGGTTTGGGGTGTTGGGTTTAGGGTTGTGGGGGTTCAGGATTTTCGGGTTTAGGGTTTCAGGGTTT